TAACATAACAAGAATGATCAAGTCCAAAAGATATAATCTTAATTGCTTCTTGATGGATCTAATTCAATCCAAATAAAGAAATGGTAAAAATCAATGTGGGTTTTTTGCAGAACATATAGCTTCTGTGAGCTGATCAGAGTCTTGTTCAACATTAAGAAATGACCAGTGCAAACAAATAACAAAAAGTTTCAACATTTGTAAGCAATCGAGCTTCAGGGTGAGTTATAACTACATGTGTACAGTAAAATTCCCGAGTTCGAAATTATTCCAAGAGAATTTTTCCCGGAAACAGAAATGGAGGAATCAATTTAAGCGTGAAATGTTAAAATCAACTAAAAAAACCTGTCGAAGCTGAGGCGAGTAGATAAGAGATTGATGAACGGCGACCCGTCGAAGATGCAAGCTGATCGACGGCGAGGAGGAAGAAGGAAGCTGATCGACGGCGACACGGTGGCGATGGAAGCTGATCGACGGCGAGGAGGAAGAAGGAAGCTGATCTTTGTAAGTTGTGTAACCCAACGAAAATCATTTAATAGTGGGCTTTTAAAAGGCCCAATTATGGCCCAATAGGTCTCATTTCCCCTTATATTTGAAGATGGTCGCAAATTAGATTAGAAATTTGTGATTTTTAGGGAGAGTTTGCTCGAGTTCTTCGTCAAATTCGCTTCGAAATCGAAGGTGGAGTTTCGTTTCACTAAGGTACTAGTGAAGAAGAGTCGATCGGATTATTCTTCGTCTTTTACCACCATTTCTGCAAAATTTCCTACTTTGAATCTGATTGTTCGCTTGAATCGCTTCAGTTTTCATGTTTCTGCATATGCGTTTGTGAGTAATTTCTGTTTAGTGAAATTCATGTGGATTTGATCTGCTTTTGGAAACTGGTTAGTGATTATCTAGAGTGAAAAGGGTTTTTCTCTTTTAGGGTTTTGCAAAAAAAGTATGGATAGTTTACCAAATGAGATTATTTGCCACATTGGGTCTTTCTTTCTGCAAAGGAAGCTGCTTTTATAATGGTTCTCTCAAAGATGTGGCGAAATCTGTTTACCATCATACCAAAACTTCATTTTGATGGCGATGATGAAGGTAGTAGTAGTTTCGAAGATTTTGTTGATGGAGTATTAGCTTTACCAGTCAGTTCTCGTATAAGGATGGTCTCTCTGAAAGTGAACCATTGACGATATGATTGTATCAACCGTTGTCTCTGTCATGTGTTGAAGCGTGGTGTTTCGGTTCTTGTACTAGAGATAAAAGTCGCCGATCAAGGAGGGTATTCGCTGCCTCTTGAAGTTTTTACTTGCAAGACTGTTGCTAGAATGAAACTAGGGTCTGGTTTCGCTATCGACTTTCTCCCCGCAGATGCTTTTCTTCCAGCTCTCAAGACTCTCGTTCTTGATACTGTTATGTTCTGTGGTTTTGACGGTCGTTGTGCTTTTAAAACGCTTCTTTCTGCGTCTCATGTGCTTGAGGAGTTAGTCATAGATGGATCGAGTGGGAACGTTGGAAATGGTCTTGCACTGTGTCCAGTCCAACCCTCCAAAGACTTACTATCCGACGTAATGAGTGGTATTCTCTACCAGTTCTGATAGAGAAATCTCCGAATCTAAAGACTCTCGTCATCAACAATTCCCTGCATTGTGCACGGAAAGAAGATGGATTGGGTTGCCAGTGTGTGTCATCAGATTATTCTTTCCTTTTGTCATGTCCTTTGAAGGTCCTAGAGATAAATCTGTACAGTGGAACTATCGAAGAGTTGGAGCAAATGAAGCATTTCTTGGAGAAATTGTCATGTCTTGAGCGGGTGGTAGTTCACACTCGGATGAGAGGTCGGAAAGTCATGGCGGATCTGCAAAGGCTTCCCAGAGCTTCGCCCAAGTGCAAAATAGAGGTCAAGCATTACTAAGAGCAAAAACTCTAATCTTTCCTACTTTTGTTTTAAGTCTTTTTTTGGAAGTTGGAAACATGATCTAAGTCTATGGTTAGTATGCGAAAACCAATCTTAAAAGATATAATGCTTTTGTTGACATAAGAATTGGTTTGTTTTTGTATCTTTCATATCTAAACTCCTGAATTGGGGAAAAAAAAAAAAAAGTGACCATCCGATCCCCGGATCAAACAATCTGACCGCTGGAACAAACAATCCGATCGCCGGATCAAACAACGAGTCCAAAAATTTGATTTCATATACCAGAAATATTGGTTTTTTCCCAATGTTGTTTTGCGTTTGCGTTTCAGTTCAGAAACCGGTTTCGTAGAAATGATGATTGATGAGTTCACGAGTTAAGTTAAAACTACTTTACTTTATAATCTAAACTTCCATTAGGACCATAAAGCATAACAAATTTCCCGACATATCAAACTGCCGTCACGTTACTTTTTATATGCTCCCACCTTATTATATACTGTCATTATAAATTATTTTTTCAGATCAAGCTTTCCCAATTCACCAAAAAACACAGTAACATGCATAATGATTAGTCACAAGTTGAACAATATTAATATCCGATGCTTTTTCTTCTCTTTTTATATTACAAACGCGTAATTTCCGTGTAAACTATATACTTTTAGTTAAGAAATAACTAGATTTAAATAAATTTATATAAGTTTGCATCACGAAAAATTGGTACGATCAAGAGCAAAACGCTTTTAAACAAATTGGTTGTTTTTCCAACAGTTTTTAGTACCATGTATATTTGTTGGTGTCAGATAATAAAACTGGTTATCCATATAATCATGATTATATTATTATTAAAAAAACAAATTGTGATTTGGTAGTAATTAGATAGAATTTAGACGCGGGAAAATGTGCAGTGTTGTGATATGTGACCGCGTACGATAGTTAAAACGTGTACGAATCGTTACGGAAGATTCTGTATGTTTTTTTTTCTCTCCCAATTCTATGGGCTGGAACTGAATTCCACATTTTTAAAAATATAATTTTATCATACAAATTTCATTATATGTAATTGCTTTTTTGCCTTTTGGGTTCACTTCTGATCATTTTTTGTTTCAACTAAAAAAACGAGGTATTGAAATTGTTCATGTAGTTTATTAATACACTCTTCTACTAAAACCCGAGTTAGTTTCTTTATTTTCTTAACAATTTGGTTTCATGAGGGCCTTAATTACTTTATATCTAATAAATCTGTCACATTTGATTTGTCTTGTCAGATATTCCGATTCTCAATGCTCAATCATTTTGCTGGTCTCCAAATATTGTTAAGCTAAAAATACATTTTTGAAATTTTTTTTTGTTTTGATAACTCATGATAAATCATAAATTTATGGAGAGACCCATACTAATCTGTGGGAGAGGTGCATCACACGGATAGATCCAAGACATTTTTAAATTTATGCACTTATATTACCATTTATCCATAAACTCGGATATAGTCCCATTATATTATTTCGTGTCCAAACATTTGATTTTAAAACCTTGAATTTAGCTTATATTCGTCTGAATGAATGTGAAAAACTCACTTGATTCATTATAGATATGTTAAATTTTCTTTTGAAGTCTTGACGTACACATTTTATTGAAAATTGATATATGTTCTTAGAAAACACAAATACGAATGTTCAAAGAAATATTTGTAGTTTATAAACGATATATATAAGAAACATTACGGACCACTGGATGCCACTATCAATACACACGGAACGTATAAACAATAGAGATTTGCATATATATATATAT